TCCCTATTCCTGACCCTACACCAGACACATGCTCAGACTCATTTCAAACATGTTGGCCATTCTCACCCCTTGATCTAGTTCCTCCCAATTTCAGTACCCAGCACTTCCTCCTCAGGTTCCTGTCTTCCAGACCTAGAAGGGAGACCCCACTCACCTCTCATCTTGGCGATGGCCCCACAGCTCATGGTGGATGCTGGGCTGCTCTCAATTTATGATGGACTGGCTCCACCCCTTAGCTCACCCAGTCACTGGCCCTCCTTCTACCCGCTGGGCTCTATTGGCTGGGTTGCCCTGCCCTCCAGGCCTGGCCTGTCAGGTGGATGACTACAGAGATTGATGCTAACCTCAGCCTCATCTTGTGCACACCACTTCCTCCTGACTGCTCTCCTTGGAGGGAAAGTCCCTTCTCACTGTCTATACCACAGCACCTGGTGCTAAGGGAAGGACGGGTGCTGTGAGGCAATGGACCACCCCACATCCTGCTGTAGTCAGCTCCCAGGAAATGTGGGATTGAGACTGAGCACCTGGACTGGGTCATGTCTGTGTCTGGGGTCCTAGCATGGGCCAGAGTGCCTTACCATTCCCACTAGAGAACTTCCCTGTTCCCACCACTGTTTCAGCATGGGGCTTCCGCTCTGCTGTGAGTCTATCCAGGGTGGGGATTCTGGCCAGGAACTTGCCTGAGTCATTTGCAAAGGAAAAGGGTGTTTTCCTCTTCCTCTGCATCCCTGAGGGCTTCTTCAGTCATAGGTGGATTTCTCTGGTACTGAAATTCCTTCCCCTGAAGAACAGGGCCAGCTGGCCACGGTGCCAAAACTACCTTTTGTTCTCTGTGTACAGTGGGGATGAAGACAGGCTGGGGACAGGAGTGGGCAGAAAGTGTGCATAGACCTGGCAACATGGGGCTGGGGGTAAAGCGAGAAGTGGGAGCAGGTAGGGGCACTTGACACTGGGGCCTGAACAGATCTGGGGCACCTTGAGTGGCACAGGAGGAAGAACATGAGTGATGGAATACAACAGAACTGGCTTTGCATCCTGCTTTGTCAGGTCGCGACTGTGTCCTTAGGACATAAGGCTTACGTTTTCTGAGCCTGCATTTCCTTATGTGTAACCAGGTGGCAATGATATCTTCTCTGTAGGGAGTTGTAAGCGTTAGCTGCGATGATGCCTGGCAGGTCACCTTGTACTTGGTAGTTAACTATATTGATTTCCTTCTTTCCTTTTGGAGCCAGGGTTTGGGTTGAAGCCAGACCACAGAAAATACTCCTTTGAACTGGAGGTGATGCTTCCACCACCCAGAGGTTCACTATGTGAATGTAGGCAGACATACTCCCCTCCTCCTCTCTTTTTGCTACTTCTTCTTATTTTTGTGATAGCCTTATTGAGATACAAATCATACCACCATACAATCTGCCCATTCAAAGTGAGCAATTTAATGGTTTGCAATGTATTGACAGAGTTGTGCAATCATCACTATAATCAATTTTACAACATTTTCATCACGCCAGAAAGAAATACCTTGCGTTTTAGCTATTGCTCTCCTTTCTTTCCATTCCTCTGATCTTAGGCAACCACTAATCTGCTTTCTATCTCTGGCTTTTCCTGTTCTGCACATTTCATATCCATGGAATACAGCACTCCTCATTTAACGACTTACCTGTCCAGCAAATGCCCGGATTTGCAGTCAGTTCTTCCACATGCAGAATCCCTTTTCACAGTCTTTGTCTCGCTCCTACAGTCAGTTAGTATTCACTACGTGGAGCATTCGCACCACACAAGACTACATATTTTGTTTATGAATTTGTACACTATTGTGCACTCATAGTAGTATTCAGAATAAATAGAAATGATTATGCTGGATTTGTAGCTGGTGTGTCTTGTTGCTTTCCACCTCTTATCTATATGCTTTTTTTGTGGACATAACTACATTATTCTAGTGTGGTATCACATGATATCTATTCAAAAACACATACCATGTCATATGCATTTGCTACAATACACCGTAAGACATCCACCCTTATGTGTCTCGCTTATACAGGTAGGAACAGAACTCGGAACCCGCTGTTAAGTGAGAAGTGCTTGCAATATTAACTAGGATTATGATAAGGATGTGTTGAATCTGTAGATCCACTTAGGGAGTATTGATTCTTTTGTTTGTTTGTTTGTTTATTACCAGAGGGTTTGTGAGCTTGCTAGGGAGAGGAGAGACAGGAAGCATTCCCCCAAGGGGGTGTGGTTACAGTGCAATACGTCCTCCTCCATTTCTCTATCTTGTCAGGGGCATACCCGTACATGCACCCAGCATGCTTTTCAAGCTGCCAAGCAGGGGATTGGAACTGCAGTTGGCCACATGGGATCTGGCTCCCTTAACCACTATGCTATGGGGATGGTTCAAGACCTGATATTTTCACAGGGTTGCCTTGCTATTATTAAAATAATTTGTTTATAGGAATAGACTATATATTGACTTCTTGACAATATCGATCTTCTGATCCATGTTCTATGAGCCACCAAATTATCATGGATATAACTCCCATCATTAACTAGGTGTTATTTGACTTACAAGGTCTTAAAGTCAGCATGCGCAATAGTGTTACATCAAGCGGAAGTGGTATATACGAAACTGGGCTCTAGCAGTCCCTGAAGGCCCATGTAGGTTGCATGAGGAAGTAGCCCGCTCCTACATTAGCCTCCATAGCTTAAATCTATTGTCTCCTGGGGAATTCCACATGGTTAGTTGATGAGGAAGAGAAAACTCAGGCCTGGTTTACAGATGGTTCTGTGTGATGTACAGACACCACTTGAGAGCCGTGCCCCTTTCTGGGATATCCCTGAAGGAGAATGGTGAAGAGATATGTTTCAATGGGGACAGAACATCAAGCAGGACATTTGGTTGTCCATTATGCCTGGAAGGAGAAATGGCTAGGGTTAAGGGTCTAAATTGGTTAATGGGCTGTGGCCAATGGTTTAGCAGGATGGTCAAGGACTTGGAAGATAACTGGAAAATTGATAAGAATGAGTCTGGGGAGAGATATGTGGATAATCCTCTTTGAATTGGTTAATGATGTGAGCATATTTATGTCTCTTGTGAATGGGCAACAAAAGATGCCTTCAGTGGAAGAAGATGTTAATAACCAAGGTGGATAAAATGACCCATTCTATGGATACCAGTCAGCCTCTTCTCCCAGTCTTTCCTCTCATTTCCAATGGGCTCATGAACAAATTGGCCATGATGACAGGGATGAAGATTATACATGGGTTCAGAAATACAGATTTTATTCACTAAGGCTGGCTACAAAGCAGGATTGATTGAACTATGTTTGCTTCTTTTCCTACTACAGAGAGTTGGTTGTTAAACTTTAATATCATACCACTTGTTAAATCCTAGATTGCCAATTATTGGGTAAAGGACATTTGACACATTATAAAATCCTTGTGACTGCAAAGCAATGAGGATAACACTGTCTATGTCATATGGATGTTTGGAATATTCCAATGGATTATTGTAAGTAATAATTAAGAATAATATGAGGCACAAAAACCACACCCCATAAGGTTTTGCTTTTACCATTCTCATTACTATCACTGTTATTGTTGTTTTCACTGTTATTGTTATCATTATTAACAGTATTTTATTAGCTAGTCTGATCCACGTGTGTCCCTCTGTTGGCTCACACAAGATACAGCCCTTGGGAGAATCAAACACCCAGGGCTCAAGAGGCTGAGAACATGGGTGGTCTGGTTTCTGTGACTGACTATTGCTGGGCAGATGATGGCATTCCCAAGAACACAGCAGAGGAGGGAGCCTTGGCAATGGAAAGGTCCATGGCTGGAAGGCAAAACATCTGGGGTCTGGTCTCCTACACTGGGCCCACTTGGTTAAGAATCATTTTACCTTTCTGAGCTTTAACTTTCACAGCTGTAAAAGATGAGGAAGCTTGATATGTTGACCAGGAAGGAAGCAGTGACTTGGTCATGAACAGTATCAGTTACTCCCTCTGACCTGACTCATGACCAGGACTCGTAAATATCCATCATGGTCACTGCCATCATCATCTTCATCTCATTTGCAAAGTAGAGTCTGTAACACCTTACTCACAGGAGTTCTGGGAGGACCTGGAGAGAAAATAGACTGTAAAGTTTCATGAGGATGTCCCCAGGGACCAATAAGATGATCTTGAACATTTGTATTATTGCTGCCTCCTCATATTCGCTGCAGCTTCCTTCCCCAGACACAAGCTCTTTCTCGGGTACTCATCCTACCAACCAAGAGCTAATTCCCACAAGATCCCTGCCAGATGCATTTTCAGTCTGGGGCCAATTAGGAAGTCCCAGGTTGTTAGGAATGCTACCTTGCCCTCGCTTCCCCTACTCATTCGCCTGCCATCATCTCCTGGAGGCCTGGAGGCCTATCTGGTTCAGAACTGAGCTTCCAGAGTCTGGCCTTCTTCCTCATGCTAGCCCCTTACCAGTGATCATGGTGGGCTCTTGGGCTAGCAAGAGAGATTTCAGTTAGAGTTCAAGTTAAGCTTTGAAGTTAGATTTAAGCACATGATATTACAACTTCAGCTTTGGCCTGAGAGGCAAGGGCCCAGCTTCTGGTGTTGGCTTTGCTACTGTCTAGCTGTGTGACCTTGGCCATGTCCCTCATATTGTCCTGGTCATAGTTCATTTATCTGGGAAATAACACAAGTAGGACTGTGCTTGGGAGTCTTCAAGTAATTCTGTCATTTTGTAAGTCGAGCTGGCTGAAATTTCATCCTTTCTATGATGTCAGATTACTTCTGACCTCAGGCAAGTCACTGCACTTCCCTGAGCCTCCATTTCATGAGGAAACGAATGTCAGCCTGTACATTCCAATCTCCACTTCAGAGGCTCTCTTCACAGCGGAAGAGTGTCAATAACACATGTGAGAAAAATTAGGACCTTGACTCAGACAAGGGATGGGATGGTTATTTGCCTGTGGTTATGTCTTCAGAGAGAAAAGATTACCAAGGCAACTTTTTGTCTGCCCTGACTTCTGACCCAAAGCCTCCCCTCCCTCAAAATCTGTCGGCCCATCAGGCTGGGCCAGAGGAAGTAATGTGTATGTATGTGTGAAGGGGACCAGAGTACAGAGGAGGACTCCCTAATGGCAGTCATCTGAGATGATAGCCAAGTCTGGGAAAGAGCTGAGCATTGGAGT